CCGACAGGCTGCTTGTTTATTATGGTTACCACAAGAAAATACATGTATATGCAACCAGAAATCAGAAACTGATATAGGCATTGTAGTTATGATATCTAGTGACAGCTCGTGAACTCAACTAAACCTGAAAGTCAGAGAAAGCTTGTATGTTTATTTGTCATTTCTTACCTCCAGATATGGTATGATTGGAATGATGTCATAACTGCATGGTCTTTTATGCTGAATGCAACCATGGAAACACCATCACTTAAAAACTCTGAAACATTCAGGTAAAGATTCAAGACTGTTATTGGTTACGTTTTTCCTAAAATTAAAATGTTCACTGTGATAACATTAACTTAAAGTCATTTTTGTTCGTAAAATAACAACAAATATTGTTAGTCTCTGGGACTGATTTCTAGACAAGCCTACAGGTCCAGTTTTATTTGCTCCACAAATTGCTTCAGTATACTGACTAAAAAACTTTCACTACTGAGTTTGTGGTTATCACATTCAGATCAGGAAATTGAAACTGGTAGTTAGTTGAAGGGTCCTTAAGATTTGTGGATCTCAACATTCTTAATATTGAACTGTTGAAGCAAGCTTTTAGTGTTCTGTGTGGGAGTGGTAAACTACAGATAGGTGAATCGTCAAGGCACGAATGGAGGTCTCATTTTCAAGTTTGAATCCAAAATGCAGCCCCACACCATGATGTTCATTCAATTATTAAAATTAAACCAAATTACCATCGTACATGATATAAGATAATATCTACTTGAAGCATCTCTTCCAGTGGAAGGCAGCAACGTCTGATCTTTCTTCATTCCGAAAATCACTGGTGGGGTTCACTTTACACAGCAACCGAAGCAAATATTGTTATTTGGAATATTGCTTGAACCACACTCAAGCAAGCAAACAGAGATTATGTTAATCATGTTTGTACAATTTAACTGTGTCGTTCTATGCTCGTAAATCAAGGCCTTAAAACAGCTCGATTCAGTTCAAATTATAACCTTATATTATCTACAACATGAAATATACGATGTTTACAAGTTTCTCAGTGTCAGATATTACCACAACTACTATGGTTTGTCGTCCGTTGTACATTTCAGCCGTTTTCAAGCAAATGAATATTATCGCAAACCCAGTTAATAGTACTACTCAGCGGGCACTCGATCATCAGATCTCTTCAATTTTTTCTGTGATTGTAGATGCGATATGAATGAACAATAAGTTCTCATGATTCTTTTATAAATTTATGCATTCTAGAGATTTTACTTCCCGAATGTAAAAACAAACACCATAGTCTAGTAGAACACAAACTCAGACCTGTACAACAAACCAGAAGTTATTCTACTATAAAAATGGTTTAGAATGACTCTTCTGGAAATATAATTAATATTTCTTTTACTTCCAGGAAAACTCTATTACATCCCTAATCTAAATGAAGGTTGTGATTACTTATTGACAATCCCACATCTTTAAAAATAATTCTCTTTGGTGTTTCTAAGTTTTAATTTTGTTTGTTGTTCACATTTCAAGGTATGATTTGATAGATGTGACCAGACAGGTCCTACAAGACTTCGCTTACTTGGTGAATTATCAAGCAGTGTTAGGATATTTGGCAAAAAAGGATGCTGCAGGAATCAAGTAAGATCAAAGTATTTTGTATTATAGAAACACCACAAGAAAAATTTACCAACCCTTTGGGTTTATATCCAAACTTTGGATAGTTTTAGACTT